AAGCTGAGCGGGGCCGAAGCGACCTCGGCTCGCGTTGTTTTCTGAACCCTAGAGCCTAGAGCTCAGAAAACAACGTGAGCCGCCGCCACCATCTCCTCCCGAGAGGACTGAAAGCAGCTGGAGCTGAGGAAACGAAGCTGAGAGGAGCCGAAGCGACCTCGGCTCGCGTTGTTTTCTGAGCCCGCGAGCCTAGAGCCTAGAGCTCAGAAAACGCAAGCCGCCGCCACCACCTCCTCCCCCTCCTCCCGAGCGGACTGAAAGCAGCTGGGGCTGAGGAAATGAAGCTGAGCGGAGCCGAAGTGACCTCGGCTCGCATTGTTTTCTGAGCCCGCGAGCCCAGAGCCAGGGCACTTTCATTGCACGGCGGAGCTTCTTGTCTCGGGAAACACCGGGCGTCCTTGCTGCCTCCTGAGGGGAGGGCGATTCTGGGCTGCGCGATTGGGGGACTTCATGGCTTTGGGTGGGTGGGTGGGTGGGAGCGAGGACGGACAGAGTCCGTTAAATGGGGCTTGCCTGCCCTTGCTGGCTGCCTCTGCTTCCTTAGGGGCGGGGAAGGGGGCTCATCTGGACCAAGGGTGAGTCTCCCCCTCAGTTTCCCCTGAAGGATCTTCCGTCGCTTTTGCCTTCTCCCTACATCTTCCCTCTGTTAAAAATCCCACACACACACACACACACTTATTTTCGGGCGGATAGATTTCGTGTCTGAGCATTCTCACATGGCGGTGGGTCTTCCCCCCCCCCAAAAACAGTTAAAAAAAGAAAAAACAATAGATCCTCATGCAAGAACTTTTCTGCTTCCGATTACCCCCATGCTTAAAAGTTGCAAAGGAAACACGGAAGCAGGGAAGCGGCTGCCCAGCTCCGGATCTCCACACCATTTTTTTTTCAGAGGGGAATCTGACTCAAGTATAAGCCGAGGGGGTTTTTTTCAGCACAAAAAATGTGCTGAAAAACTCGGCTTATACTCGAGTATATACGGTAATTCTGCCCTTACACAGCTGTTTGGGGAAAAATGTAGAAAAGACTATTAGGCATGCCACCTGAGTTCCTACATAAGATTTAGGAAATAAATATAACAATGAAATAAAAGAAAAACCAATTTAGAATTTTTAAAACTTTTTCTATCTAGTCTTGGCTATACTGGCTATCACATCCTGTGGTGGTACAACACCAAAAATTAGCAATACATGAGTTGAAATGTTCTACTTCAACTAATTGGACTTTTCTTTTTCCCAGAAGAAATTCTAGGATTTTGAGAGGGGGGAAACTCTTTGTGAAAGTATTTTATGTTGTGAAAAGAGCAGAGAAGTATAGTTGTATTAAATATATCCCTCCTCTGCCCAAGTAATGTTTTCCTCACTACAATCCAGTTTTATCAACATTAATCATTATTTTGATTGTCCATTTCTGTAACTTTTTCGAACCCTATGGCATTCTTTTAGAAACAGGGTAACTTAACCCATATATAATATTGTATATATCATTGCATACGCACAGATATGTACACAAATAAACATATTCAGTTATAGCATTATGATAGCACTTTAATTTCTAGTCTTTTTTCTAATATTTCTTCATATTGCTGGATCATTTTTCATCCTAGAGATGATTGCTTTTAGTTAGTTTGGAACATAATCCTCAAACCTCTTCTATAGTAGTTAAAGCCACTTTGTATAACTATCTTAGTAAATCTCACAGGGTTGTTGTGGCGAAAATGTGAAGAAGAAAGAGTAGGAAGTGTGCCATTTTGAGTTATTTATAAAAAAGGTAGAATTAAATAAAAACTCTCACTGGTTACTTTGTGATACTGTCCCTCTTTCCTACCACTATATTTATTTCCATTTCCAATTTCATCTTTATGTTTTTCACATTTCTTCTAGGTTTAAATTGTGCTTCTCGGGGTCAGCACACTAGGCCTCACTTCATGCAAGCAGACTTTTGGGGGAATCCTATACCCACATTTTATCATAATTTCAACAGATTACATAAAGCATCTCAAATTATTCCATTTCCAATTTCATCTTTATGTTTTTCACATTTCTTCTAGATTTAAATTGTGCTTCTTGGGGTCACTTTTAAAATACTAAGTGAGGGAAATATTTTTACTTCCAAAACTTTCATTAATCCGTATAGAAACACAAGTTTTATCGAACAAACAGGACTCAAATTTAAATAGCGTTTAGAACCCAACAAAGAAAAGCACTGTTGGTCCACTTTGGGAGAAAAGGGAAAGACTTGGTGAGCAGGTTATGCAGTTAAAAGATCTTTTTACTGAGGGAATTTGGTTTGAAGTTTTCCTCCATCACCTTCACTGCCAAGTACAGTGGCAGTAATTCCCATTTACACGTTAATATACTGTAACATCATCTTACCCTCAAAATGGCAAGGCTGAGTGAACAGATGCCGAGGGAATTTACATAGCATTTAAGTAATGAAGCTCTAAAGCTATAGACTTTATGCAATAGTTTTATGCAGCCAATTCCTTTAAAAAGCATGCAACCTTATTCTATCACTTGCTTTGTTCCATCCAAGGACAATCTTGTTCAGTTATTTTTAATGTTGGTTACAAAATATCTCAAATCACTTATGAATGGCAAATCCCAGTCTGTCTGCAGGTTCTCCCAAGTGTTCAATTATATACATGAGTTGTTTATTTGATGTTTATTTGGTTAAAACTTATTTTATTTTATTTTATTGTTGTAAACCTTTCTGAAATCAGTTCATAGCAGAGACAAAAAAAGAAAGTTTTGTTTTCCTCAACAAGAACATAGACTTGCTAATAAATGTTCACTAATGCTGCCACTCTTCTAGGTATTGTTTAAAACAAAGCCATTATTTTATTAATACAGCTTGCATTTAACCCGAAGCAATGAACACATTTTGCATTCCCTACTTCTTTAGACAGGCACAGCACAAAATGCAACTCATGATACTTCAGCCATGAGTGCAAAAGTCCAGCTAATGATACAATTTCTTCTCTTCCAATTAAATGTGGAAGGACACTTATTCACTCATATACCATTGATTTCAGCAGATGTAAAGAAAAAGGAATCACACTCCTCAAGAGAGCTCCTTGCTGGACCCCACTGAGAATACTCTGGAGCAACTCTTAACTGGAAAAAAACAAGACCACTTGATCACTCACACAGAGCTCTATAAGCAATCTCTGTTTCTATGAATTTCTATACTGATTGCTTAATCCTTACACATCTGGAAATGAAATTGCCTGTATTCTCTAAACTGGTGCTGAAGAGCAAATCCAAATGAAATATCAGGCTTCCTGAAAACAGGTGATTTTTCTGTGCTTCTTCATCAGGGCAATTAAATGATGCAACCACACATAATACATACATGAAACAAAAGCAGATGCTAATCAGCAAGGCGCAAGCCCATAGCAGTGACTCATATGGGGTTGTAGTAAGCCTTCTTCTGGGGAGCTGAAACACCTCTATGTTTTTGCACCAAGATAATGGATCACTTATTCACACCTGACACAAAGAAATTGCAGTAGCAATCACCCTGCCAGACAAGATAAGAGCTAACTACAACAAGGGATAAAATATACAGCTTTCTTTTAAGTTACCGGAGTCTTTATTTTCTCTATAACAAACAACAAAACAATTTGAAGAATTATAAGCTTCCACTGAAGGCCAGCCATGGGGATATGACAACAATGCTGCAGTTTAGAACTCTTTTATTTTGTTCATTTGTTTGTTGTATTTTTTATACTGGCATGCTATGCAAAATCATTTACGTGAATACAGTATGTCAAGGTAACAAGAAAAGGTGGTAAATTATGCTAAGAAAACTTTATAAAATATATTTAACAAAATTAAACATTTGGTTTTCCCCACAATCCAGGTTGGCAAACGAAAACTGCATCCCACAGGGCTGAAGTACTCACAATAAATGTCTTTAGAAATCAAGGAGGATGTGGGAAAAGGAATCAGTTCTAATTTTCTAACAAATATGCCACAATGCAAAAGGGAAATAGAGAATTGGCTTACAATATGTAGTTTCCTTTTGTCCTCTTAAAAGTTTGCTTGTATTTCAACTGGTTGCACTATAAAAATAATTGAAACCTACCTTGGTCCTTTTTTTTAAAGTCAGCTGTTTCCAAACATGAACTGATTTTGAGGTATGCCTAAGGCAGATAGCACAGGTGAAACAGGCATGAATTTCACTGTGAAATCAAGTTTAACATGTTTTATGGCACCAGTGCAGACAAGTCCTAAATCAGACCTATTCTACTACATTTCAATTAAGGAGCTGCTCTTGTGCTAAAGGTAGAAAATGGCTGCTGTAACACAAGCCTCTGAGTCACACAGAACTCCTTACTGGGAAATACGGAAAAGTAAACATTGTTTCCTAGTGTAGTTTAAAGAATAACAATACCGCATCTGCTTGAGATGGATAACTTTAGAGACTTGCCTCTTACAGAAATTCACAGAAATGCATTTAAGACTTGAACTTACACAACACTTTTCATTTTGGCCAAAATGGAAAAGTATTGTTTTTCAGACCACACAGAAAACCTGTTTGCAAATGCAAATCCCGCTAGCCTACAGCAATACGGTTGGTCTAAACTTGATAAAAGAGCTTTGTTCCCTTTGCCCCGGGTTTCCACGTTCAATATGGTACCCATTCTCAAGACCGCACGAAGTCAAAGCAGGCAACTAAGCCCCTCGTCTAAATGTGGGAAGACCCTCCAAAGACGCCAGGTGAGCCTTTTTTTTAAAAAAAAAAAAAAGAAGCGCTGTCTCACAATAGCCAGAACTGCACCTGCTGGATCAATGTTATTCGAAGCAAGGCAACTTTTACCAAAGAAAGGGGGAAGAAGGTATCAAGGCGGAATCTGGATAAATCGTCCATCGGTTAAAAAGAAAAAGCAGGAGCCTTCCTGCATCCCAACGAACCTCTCCTTTTCCCCCGCCCCTCCAAACACGATCCCCGGGTCTATGGGAAAGCGGAGCCACATTTCCCCGCACCGGCGACGTTACCTGTCATTCCCTCCACCGGGATAGTCCCGAAATGGCTCCCGGTGAGAAGCCGGGGCCGCAGCGCTTCGCCAGCCCCGCAAAAGCAAGTAGCGCGCGCCCTCGGAGTCGCCGGCTGCCTCGCTCCGTCGCCGGCTGCTGCTCTCGCCACCTCGGGGGCTCCCGGGTTCCTGGCGGGGCGGAGCTTCCCACTCAGAGACTTGTTGCTACTGAGCGCAGGCAAAGCGGTGAAAAGGAGTGGCTGGGCCGGCCGCTCCTTTGACGACTCGCCCGCTCGGTCTCTGGCGTGTGAAAGAGCCCTCGCTTCTCCACGGGGAGCCGGCGTTCGGTGGAAACTTCGTCGGAGAGGGAGCGAGCGACCTCCGGTGGATCCCGGCGGGTAGAGAGGGGGCACCAAACGCGGATCTGCTCCGCTGGGGACCGCCAGCGTCGAGGTCGCGCTGAGTGTAAAGATTGTGGTCGAAAAAGATGGGGAAAAGAGAATGGAGACATTTTTCCTAGGCCCTATTCAGACGGAGAAACCAGCATACAGAGCCTGATGCAGAAGGACTAGTTTACCTCAATGAGACTATTTCTCCATTATGTTAATCTAAAATATAGCTATTTTATGACTTGCGAGGGTTGTATGAATTCAGCTTGCTAGACTGATTCGGGCTACGCTGGGCCTGAGTTCAAAAGATAAAAGGAATCAGTTAATGTGTAGAAATGTTACATAACAAAATAATTTTAAGTTTTAAATCCCCACTGTACGGTGGAGCTGCATTTGCTTTTTTTTCCCCATTCCTGATTTAGTGAACAAAAAAGAACGAAATTAAAGGGTATCCTATCCTGTATGTAACAAGAGAAAATGGGAAGTCAAGTACTTTTATGAGCATTAAGACTTAAAGTTGTGTTCTTCCTTCTCTCCCTATCTTGGTTCAACATATAGAAATTAACTGTGTTGATAATTATGACAATGAACAGTACCTTTTTTTAAACTCTATTTTTTAATGCACAAATTTTGATAAACTAATCAAAATTGCACAAGAATAAAGATGCAAAAAGCAAAGTAGAGATGAAAACAACTACTGAAAAACTAGTATACTAGTTGCAAGGACTCTAGGACAAGGTTCTGAATAAATTAGTCTTTTAACAGTAGTACATAGCTTTAAAGCTTCTGCCACTAGGTAAATTTGCTACACAACTACTATAGTTAATCTATTTTACAAAACTGCCATGGACCTATTACACAAAATGGAGGGAAAGGATATGCCAGGAAAGAATTTAAAAAAAAAAACTAACTTGGTTCCACATCTCCTGAATACTCAATAACATGCTTTGGACAGAAAGACATATTTTAGGAAGTGTGACAGAGAAAGTCACAGTGTTATATTATTATGCAGATAATAAATTTAAAGTATAAATACAGAAATTCCCAAAATGAAGTTAAATTCTCTGTAATATTAGAAAATTGTCCTTGGTGTTCTCTGAGCTTGGTTGCTTTCTTGCATCTTAGTACTCAAGAGTAAGTGTTCAAAACAAAAGACTTAACACCTAAATAGTTTCCTGGTTGTTCTATTTAAGGGGCAGATACTGCTGCCAAATAATTCCAAAGCAACATAACAGGCAAAAATAGTTCATTCTCGGGATTGCAAGAACTAACACAGATTATATAGCATGCAAAATTTTCATGGTAAAGCTTTACTACCACTCTGGTGTAATAATAACATAGATGAAACTTCTGTAACAAATAACATATTTTGGACAAAATACACTTTGAACCTCCTCCCAAACTTGGCTTTTAGAATAATGCATGAATTAAGAGACTTATTAACCTTTTTTACTATTAAAGCAAGTCGCAGGAGGATATTTAAAGATCTTCCTCATCATGAAAATGACTGCCTTGGGTGCTTACTATTGATTTAGCAATTCTAATATTTCATTAGAGTTGCTAATGAAATAATATAAATTATACTTTAAAAGAGATTCAAGTTAGGCAAACCTAGTAATCTTGTGACACTCTAAACAATTCATTACATATATATTTCATACATAGAATAACAGAGTTGGAAGGGACTTTAGAGGTCTTCTAGTCCAACTCCTGCTTAGGAAAGCCTATACCATTTCAGACAAATGCTTGTCCAATCTCTTCTTAAAAACTTCCAGTGTTGGAGCACAACTTCTGGAGGCAAATTGTTCCACTGATTGTTCTCCTTATCAGGAAATTTCTCCTTAGTTCTACATTGGTTCTGTCCTTGGTTAATTTCCATCCATTGCTTCTTGTCCTGCCTTCAGGTGCTTTGCAGAATAGGTTGAGCATGTCTTCTTTGTGGCAGCCCCTTAGATATTGGAACATTGTTATGATGTCACCCCTAATCCTTCTTTTCATGAAACTAAATATACTTACTTAAACCATAATATCTAAATCTTCATTCAGTGCAAAAGTTAAAATTAAAGCATCTCAAAACCATGGTTGTTTAGCCACTGCTTAAGCAGATTCTGTGAAGGAAAGTTTAGCATCTCTCGGTAAACTGTTGAACTGATAGGATTTTTTTCTAAAATTAAAAAATTATCTGAATAATTGGCTGAAAGTAACAAAAGGTAGCAGAAACGTGCTGTGATCAAATCAACTCAGAGAGACAGGCTGAGAGAATGGAATGGAATGGAATAGCAGACTTGGAAGGGACCTTGAAGGTCTTCTAGTCCAACCCGCTGCTCAGGCAGGAAGCCCTATACCAAGCCTATCAAACTGGCAGCCCGTGGGCCAGATGCGTCACACGCAGGCCACGTACACACTCTGGCTCCACAAAGGCAAAAAACATCGCGATACGTCACAATACGTCACATGACACAATCGAGTTTGAAACCCATGCCCTATACCATTTCAGACAAGGGATCCCTCCCTTGGTAATAATACTTGCACAGAATATCATGGAATAGTATATTGCAAGCTGAATATGAGTCCATAGTATATGTAGTTTCACAAAAGACAAATGCAGTTTCTGGCTGCATCTATAGGAGCATAATTTCCCAATTAAAGGAAGTTGTTATTCTTTTTCTGCTTTGGTCAGATCTCACCTTGATTACTATGCTCAGTTCTGAATATTATGGAAACATAGAAAACTGATGACAGAAAATGATCCATCAAACCTACCCTTGGAGGGTTTTTTTTTAATTTTATACATTTTTGTCAGATGAAGGACACGTGTTTATCCAAAACATGATTGTAAAATCATCCTTTTAAAAAGCTGTATCACCATTTATGTGCCATTTGCAAATTTAATGAGCAGTTTTTCCACTTATTGGCTAAGGCATGACCAACATGAATATAGTAAACCTGACTTTAGCTTTGTGTCAAATCAAAATCTCTCCCCAATTTGATGAGGAATGCTGAGTGCAACTGTAAGCATGTGAGATATCATTTTATTGCCATGCCACTCAGTACAAATTAGAACATATAATGTAAATGTATGCTGCAACTAAAATTAATAATTTAAAATCTTGGCCAAAGAGATATGTAAAAGAAATATCCCAAAGAGATATATTGCAATATTTGTGTGAAGATCAATTTCATGTAAAACAATTAGTGAGCATAGCTAAATCACTGATAACAAAAACATTATCAATACTGTACATTGTTAACTGAGTTGGACTGGAGTCAGATGGTGTCAAAATCAAATAAATAGATTAAATAATAAATAGAGATTAAGAATGTTCTTGAAAGAGAGTTGAAGGATTTTTTTTTAGCATAGAACTGAATTTTCAGAGCAATGAAGTGTAATCACCTGTGACCTTGAACAAGATTAGTATTTTTCCCCCAGTAGGGATATTAATTAATTTCCTAGTCTCAGAAAAAAGTTCACAATATCATGTTCAGATTTCCCAAAAATTCTATTTCTTCCCTTGAATTAAGTGGCATTGAGCATGCAACTTGTTAGATCCTTGAACAGTTCAAATGTCTGCTCAAACTTTCATCTAAATTGAAGGGTGAGTTATTAAAACTTTCCTGGATAAAAAGACGATATGTAATAGGAATCATTACCACAATATCTTCATTTGCTTCTCCGATGTTTTGAGAAACAATAAGAGAATTTGACCTTTATTTCCATGTACTTCAAGTAGATTGTTTCCTTTCTCCTCTACCACCTAAGACCTCTTTCATGTGGTTACAAGCTTCACCACCTTCAACCATGTGGCACTTTAACAGAACTCAAAAGTGCCCTATCTTCTCCTTTTTCCCTTATGTTGTGGTCCCTCCATTAGGCAAATGGGGGAATATTAAAAATGTGCAACTTGTACATGTTATTGTACTTTTATTGTTAATTTTAGCCCTAAAAGTTTTCAATTACTTTTTCAATTGAACTGTACAACTTATATTAATGGTGGAAAAATTCTGAAGTGCTTTATCTTAGTCTGACTTTCTACATCTCAAAATCCTAGCATTTTAACAGGAGTGTATAGACTTTTTATATTTACTGTATAAGAAGATTGCTTTCAAGAAGATAACAGGGTAGGGGAGCAGGTCTTAAATTATACACCTTTTTGGATTAGTTGAGCCATTACCTATATAACTTTAGCTTGTTAAAGGTATCATAAAGAAGGGTGAGGGAATAGATCTCACTCAAAATTAATTCAGTCACCAGTCCTTCAATTAATAAAACACATTAATCAATTGCACTTAAATAAGTCACCACCAAAATCAAACAATGGATGTCTGTTTAAGATACTGGAAGTAGTAGGTGGGATTATGCTAATAAATAAGACTATTGTAACTTTTTTGTGTGTGTCAGTTTCTAGTTTCAGAGTATTCAATGTCCTGTTTTTGTCAGGTGGACTCTCTCTCTGCCAACAATATTGTCTCATGCTGAAAGCAATAACCTTGTGAGTCATAACATTTGTTCAATAACTAAAAATATTTCAGAGAAATATACATAACTTCTCCGAACAGCTATTCAGAGCAAGAAAGCTTACAGGTAAATTACAAAACTTTGTTTGCTTATTTCATTCTTAAGCTGCAGCACTGAACCAGCCAGCATTCCCAATGACCCTGGAGGGATCTTATATTTCTTATCTTTCACCGAAACTGTGTGGGTTGTGTTTCATGACCATGTCTGTGTCACTATGTAGTGTGGGGTGGGTGTGGGGGAGAGAGAAAAACACTAACCAATCTCCTGACATTTCTATTCATACCTTCACTGTAAGGGAACATTTTGGGAGAACATTGAATCAATTCAACATTCAATAAATTCAACGAAAATAAATATCATAACGTCACTCTTGAGGCTGTAACAGGATAGAGTCAAACACGAACTCATCTTAAAATGGAATTTATCACTGCTATCAAGCTGTCATCAGGTTACTGGCAGCAGAAAGCAACACTGCATACTTAGCTGTGAATATTCTATTACAGCAGAAAAATTTACCTGCAAGGGTGTAAACTTCATTTTTTCAAGTATGTTAACAAATAAGCAAGTTCCCTCAGACATGATTGTTCATTGAGCTGTATAAGATTTGGCCCTTTATCATGCTGAAATTATGGACTGACCGCTGCATCTATATAAATATATCTCTGTGCTACTTGTACAGATTGTGGGGTTTTTGTCAATTTAAAGTATAGCACATCTTAAACTGATTTGAGAATTACTAGGTCACAGCATACAGAATGGCTTAATCTGGATAACAAACTGGTACTTAATAAATATTTTGGACAACAATTCCCATTAGTCAGAGGCATTATGACCAACACCCCTGGAAATGACCAGGTTGATGAAAGGTCTGCAATTTTAGAAATTCAATTAACAGAAACACAGCATTCTGACCTAGTAGGATTCTTATTTATTAATCAAATATTTCCAGCCGTACAATTCTAAAGTTACTAATTTGAAGTGCAGCATAAGAGTGGGTCCCCTCAAATCCTGCTGGGCTGTCTCATTATGGTGGTGTTATGTTCATGGAAAGAATGAATAAGGGATGCTAAGATTATATAATCCCCATCTCAGCAGGCACCAATATTGGGCAAGAATGATATAAAAAGATCTTTGAGGCAGATGATTACTTTAATGACAATGGCAAAACCATAATTTCATATTGCATGGGAGACACCAATGGTAAACCATTCTGGTAAGACTTCTCTGATAATTGAATATGTAAATGATTTACAAGTTCTAGTATTAAAGTCAAGAAATATGTTTTAAAAAATGGGACCAATACTAAAAAAAGGCCATGCTAATGATAACAAGAACAGTAACCATTGTTACTGAAGAGATAGATAGCTTCTGTTTTTAAGAATCAATTATCAACAGCAAAAGAACCAACAGTCAAGTAGTATGCTAGTTCTTTTGAGTAGCAATGAAGGCCTTGGAAGATATTCACTGCTATGATATTTCTGTGTCTAACAAAAATTGTAATTATGCAGTCAATGGTTTTCCTGTTTATGGAAGGGAAAAGTTGTACTTTTAAGAAGCAAGATGAAAAGCATTTTGATGATTTTGAACTTTGACCTCAGAGAAGACTCCTGAAAATACCATGCATAGCCAAGAATACAAACAAATGGGTTATTCAACAAATCAACCCAGTTTTCATTTGAAGTACAAATGTCCAGGATCAAATTATCATTATACAAAGACATAGCTTTCTTGAGAAGTATATAAAGCTGAGAAAGGTGGAAGAAAAAAAAACCATGATGACCAGCAGCAAGATGGATGGACTCAATTATAGTAGCAATTAGTGCACCATTGGAAGACTTGAAGGACTAAGCTGGAAACATATGTTCATTAACAAGTCTCTTGATGACACATAGTCTATTAGTAGTAGAAGCTTAAATGTGCATTCTTGGCAATTAGAAATAATAATCAGACAATCCCACACTGTCCAAGAATAATTTGCTACTTGGATTAGATTCGTAAATAATCCTAGTCGTTGGCTGACAACATGCTCTTATTCATACTATGTGAAGGAGAAAACATACTATTTTGCCAACTGTTATCATTTATTTTCATCTGCTGAGTCAACAGAAAGTACATGTTTATAATAAATTCTTAGAATTTAAAATTTTTAAAGATTCAGCATAAGTATTCTTAGATACTATACATATACAGAATATTTTTATAGAAAAAAATTGTTGAAAGTTGGCACAGAAACATCTCCAAAGGTTTGGTTTTCCCAAATGAAAGCAGACCTGATTAAATACAAATGGTTCCATGAGAGATACATGTTCTGGCATTTATTTCTACTTTAGCAGCTGACAATTGTAATGATTAAAAAATGCCTGATGAATTTGCATAAATAAAAGGGTTAAAATAAAACAGCATTTGAATTTAAAAATCCACCTGGCTGCATTAAAATATTTCAGAAGATATGTCACTCTCCAGTCAAAAGTAATGTTTACTTTGGGGTGCAAATAAGAGCTAAATGCAGATTCCACTGGTGAAAATTCTCAGCACAGTTCCAGTGTTTTTTATAGCTCCACTGTTTTGTTCACATCCATGGAACTGGATTTTTTTCTTGTCATGGTAGCAAACAGTGCATCCATCATTCCCAAAACTTCTAGCAATTCCTCTTGGTAATCAATCTCTTTCTCTACAAGATTTTGAAGTTTCAGAAACTGCTTATCAATAACTGAAGATTGTCCAATCACAGGCATATATATATCTGGAAAAGAACAGATAAAGATTAATGGAATTTGTGTACTTAATGAGGATAAAGACATACTAAGAATTCCCAATTGCCTTTTTTCTAGAACAATTTTAAGCAAGATATAAATAAGAAACTAATTTGGCAGCCAGAGTCTTGTTACTACAGAAAAAGATGGAGTAAGTGATGTCTGTAATTCCTTGCTTTCTTGCCACTTCACTAACTGAAAATAAATAACTGGAAAAAAAACAAACCAGCACCAGTTTGAGAGACATGGCAACAAAGAGATACAAAATTATCCATGAGCCTTCCTGAGCCACCACCACCTCCATCTTGGATCCTACAAGATCAAGATGCCCTCAAATTCAGGGGTGTTAAACTCAAGGCCCGCTGGTTGGATCTGACTTGCGGGGTGCTTAGATCTGAAACTTCCTTATATGCAAGCATTCAATTTCCCATTGAATTATAGCTACCTCTTTGCTTATTTGTGGATTGTATTCTTTCATGAACAACAAAAGGCATGCAGTTTTGAAATACCTGGGTAAACGTCAACTTTATTCATGTTATTTGACATATGAACGTACCTGTAATGAGTTCTGCAACATTTATCAGTATAGGAGCATATCTTGCATCAGTCACATTTCTGCAAATGTAATGAATAACCAGGTATTAAACTTCCTATAATGCCCATTTTTTTTCACTTTTAATGACCTACTGGAGAAAGAAAGGAAACTCCTCTTCCTTATCAAGAAATAACTTCCAAATTACATGGTTAGGAGTTTTTTTCCACCTAGCACTGGTCCCCTGGAACTAACCCCCCCCCCCCAAATTATAATCTGGGGTCAAGATGCTACCCATTAAGTTGATTTAAGTATTAATTCTGGGCGGAGACTCTGTATTTTAACTGTGATTTTTAATCAGACTGTAGCGCATTATTGTATTAAGTTCTTTCTGATATTCTGATATTTCTCCATCCCCTTTGATTCAATGAAACTCATCCAAACTTTAAAAAAAGAATTTGAAAACCCCATCATTCTAAAATTAGAATATCCCAGGCAATTTATTCCAATTTGGATTACTATGTACCGTATTTAACGGCGTATAACACGCACTTTTTTCCCCCTGAAAATAGGGGGCAAATGATGTATGCGTGTTATACGCCGATATAATGTTAAGAAGCCAGCGGAGGCCGGGCGGTGCGAGCGGAGGCCGGGCGGTGCGAGCGGTGCGAGCGGAGGCC